AAGCTGTAAGAAGGAATAGAAGCTGGAAGTTGGTGGAAGAAAGAGAAGTAAAAAGCAAAGGTAGAAGGATAAAGTAAAGCATTGGCTAGCCTCATGCCATGAGTACGAGGGTTTGGCTCAAAAAATTTAAGGCATTTAGACTGTAGCTCAGCAAAATAAGCAAAAAGTCAAAGCTGAAGTATCCAAAATGGACCTCCTTGATTGGTATCTAAGGGTTTCTCACAAAAAAGAGAACAAGCTCTATGTACATGACCTAGAACATATGGGGCTAAGGTCACATTTTTCTGTAGAACAAGAGCTTTGGCAAGAGGGGCAAATTCAAGCATAATTCCATGAGAAGAAGTGCAAAAAAGAAATTTACAAAGCCAATATAATATGAAAGAAAAGAATTCCCTATCAGTTATAGGACCCTTCCTTCTATTCTCGGCCTTGACAAAGTCACTGTAGAATGAGTTAAGGGAGGGGAGGGAAAAGAGGACTGGTGAGTCAGGATAATCTGGTCCAATGGGGGTACCAATGGGAGACAATCCTAGTAGATGGAAAATATCAAGAACAGTAGGGGCCATCATCCCACATCTGAATTGAAAAAAATTAAAAACAGAATTCCAGAAGCAAAGGGCAACAGGAATTAGGAAAGGGTCCTCTGAGATGGTAAACCTGGATAGTCGAAGGGCATCGAGAAGGCAGAGTTCTTAAAGGTCCAAAGTCCTAGCAGGGACAACCCGATCGTACCATTCTTGCCACTCCGGTCTCACCGTGGGCCAGCATCAGTGGGGACAGTTTATCCTCCAGGTACCCCAGTCAAGACCACCTTCGTAAAGAAGACAGTGGTCTTCTAGACGTGGATATAACGCTGGAAGCTCAGTAAGAATCTCCTTGAAAATAGGCCCAAGCACATAGTCATGTTGCTCATGATGTCGAGGGATGAAGATGCGTCCATCAATGGCGCTTTTCTCACTGGCCTTGTACTTTTCACATTCTACCTCAATGATCCTTTTTAGGGTTACAGACGGGCTCGCGCGCTCTATGACTGGTACTTTCAATGAAGAAGAAGCCATTGATTGAAAGCTTTCTCAGAGGATGAAGTTGGGAAAGGGAGTAGAGAGTCAGTAGAGATAAAGGGTTTGTGTGTTAGACGAGCGAGTGATTTCAAAACACGAAATAAAAGGGTTTTAACAAAACCTTTGTGTCTGAAAAATGTATCACGTAATTCGTTAAGTATTAAAAGTACAAATACGAAGAGCTTCCTTCAATATTTATACTTTTGGAGGGAAAAACACACCCCGATGTTGAGGCCAGCTTCGAAGTATAGTATTTGGCTTTGAAACCATATTTTGGCACCAAAACTCAAATAATAAACGGCTTCGAAAACTGAGAAGCCGGCTTCGAAGTACATTTCATACTTATGGATGTAAGAATGCTCAAGTATTTGTTTATTTCAAAGGGCTTAAAGACTTGTTTCAGGTTTCTCAATGAAAGTAATGTCCTTCGAAGCAAAACTTGAGATCTCTTAAGGATGGGAATTGGTGTTCGAAACATCAAGACCAATAGTTGGTTTATATATATTTAGAAAAGATTGTCTTTTCAGACTAAAACAGTGTAGCCCTCAAAAGGAGTTTCCATATTTTTGAAAGTATGGACTATTGTTCAAAGCAAAATGGTCAATTTAAAACTGATTGATCATACTAAATCATGACCATATATTTGGTTATAATTGAAACAAATTTTAAGGGTTAAGATTGTTAGATTCGAAGCACGGATTATGAATGAAAAATCAGAAAAAACTATCAACTGCTTTCCATAAATTGGAAAAGTTCACGTTCGTTTTTGTTAGTGTTTCATTTAAAACAAGTAAATCTAGATTCGAAGGATAAGATTGTGCAATTCGAAGCCCTAAATTTGCTTTTAAAGACAAACGGAGACAAGACTAAACAATGCCAAAGAAATAGAAAAGTCTTAGTTGTATTAAAGCGAAAGCAATTACATCGAATGGCCTTTTTTGGGTACAAATTCAAGTTCATAAAATTAAGGAATAAAATAAATAATAAGATCATGAAATTTGGTCCAACTATGATCAATGAATTTTTGTTCTTTCTTTATTCTATCCTCTATTTCTTCTAGGATTGGCTGCATAAGTTGATGTGCTCTCACTTCATAAAAGAGCTCTTCAGCCTTTATTTTGAATGCTGTTTCTCTCAATTCTTATTCTAACTCATCTATATCCAAGTCATCCCAGTACGTAGAGTCTTTATTCTTGAAGTTATCGAATTCTTCAATGAAGTTCTCTGCTTCGTACTGGGCATGAATTCGAAGGGCGGAGAGTTGGTCCAAAGATTGAGTGGTGGCCACAGAAGTTCGATGCCAGTGAAGAAGCAGCGGAAGTTGGTCCAAAAACATATGATGTTCTGCTTGGGCGAGGGGGTTAAGGGCGTGACCCCGTGTCAGAATATCACAAGCCCATCGAAAGTTCTTGAGAGGAACATCGTTCTCAAGAACATTGAAAGGCAAATGAGACAAGGTCGCAAGCAGAAATTGGGCTTGCTTCCGCTCAGCTGGAGTAGGGGAAGGTGGAGGCTGGTAAGGAGAAAAGACCTTATCCGCAGAGAAGGCAAGCCTCAATCTCTCTGTCCAGCAAGGATTTGGTGGAGAATGAGGTATGGAAGCTTCCATGTCGAAAGAAGGAGCAAGGGTAGAAGGAACAAGGGCACTAATATAATCAAGCCAGTCAGAAGAGCAAAGCTTGGCCTTCTGAGCTAAGAACGATGGATCGTACCCTTGTGCCTCTTCTGGGCGTCGGACAGCGTGCACTATCTTTGTAGGCATGGAGGATGTATACCATGCTACAAGCAGATTCTCCTCCAAACTGCGTCGTCGGTCGATGGGCACGTAAGGATAAACCACCGAGCTTCACGCATAGTAAGGAAGCTCTAAAGAATCAGTGAACTCAGCGAAATGATGGTTAATTCGCTCCCTCAGATCATAGGCTTCAGGTTTCGACCAACTTGCCCAGTCAGAAGCCCCAGAGGAAGAAGAAGCCACATCCCATGCAGAGGGTTGTGAAGAGGAACTTCCCATGTCCATATTTGCGACTTTCTGAATCAAAGGATTGAGAGTAGTTCGTTTGTAGTCCAAGGGTGAGTCAGAAGAAGAACTTCCCATGTCCATATTTTTAAGTTTCTAAATCAAAGGATTAAGGGCAATGTGTTTGTAGTCCAAGGATTGATAATTTGCAAAGGCATCTATGACCTGAATATAGAAAGGTGGGTAAAGGTAGCTAATTAATACATGGAGGTTCTTTCGAGGAGAAACAGCATCATCAGATGACTCTTCATGTGCTCGATCAATGGAGGCGAAAATCGATTCGGCCATAAAAAATATATATCAGTCTGTTCGAATACTAAGGTGGTGGGGGTATTCAAAAGATTAAAGGAGAGTTTAATGCAGATGATGAATGGCAGTTGCATTTCTGGAAGAATGCAAAGCCCATGCACGTTCTAAGACGTGGATAAAAAAACCTAGATCCACTAATATCACCAAGTATTGGGTATATTAGTGCAAGGGGTAATGTTGGCTACATATTTTGTATAAGCCAATTATAATTCAACGCGTGGCAGAATAAGAGTAATATAAGAAGACTATTCAAGTCTTCGATCTAGATCGTACACGTGGCAGTTGGTATTAGTTATTACGAGATCTGAGTAGTAGTGGATCAACAAAGAGATGCAAGGTGATGTGGCTTCAACGGTTACTCACATTTAAATTCAAATTTAAGAGGGAAGCCTAACTTCAAGTGATAGCATAGTGGAGCTAATTATAAGGCAACATGATCAGCGATCATGGAGGAGCAGTTCGACGGTTAGAAATGCAGTTCGATGGTTATCCTTGAGGAGTATAAATAGCAGAGAAGGCCCACAAAAAGGCCCCTAGATTCAGATTCAAAAAACCAATCTTATTCTATTTTTTTTTCCTTTTTAGTTTTACATTTCCAGTCTTACATTTCATGTTCTTTACATTCCTGTACTTTAAATTTTTGCACTGCACTTCGTTCATAGAAGTAGTTTCAAGTAGTAGATTGTTGTTGTAAACCTCTACGAGGTTAAGTTTGAATCATTGTAAGTTTTTTATTTTAATGAAATGTTTCAAATTATTCTTCATTTAATTGTTATCTTGTTTAATTCTCCTAAATCAAGTCACCAGTAAAAGTTCTCTTCATTGAGGCTGAGAGAACTAAAACACAATCGTCTGATAATTGGTTGGTAATTAATTTTCTGTAAGGACTGATTGATCCTTACTGGCATGCTCGCAATTACAAAAATAACTTTCAAAAATCAAAAAGCCAACAATATTATTTCTTATCTAATATGTCTATTTGTTTCAAAAATCACATAAATTTTATATCATATTTTATTTATCATTTAATAAATTAATAATAAATTGTGAGTAAAGAAAGTTACTATATCTCTACCATAACGTTAGCTTATAAGACAGTAAACAAATTATTTTATTTTTTTTAAATGGTCATACATTACCCCAGAAAATCAAATGAAAAAGTAAACAACCCAGTGACACTGGATCCGTGATTGATTGTGAGAGTAGTAAAATATTTATAGATAATGAGTAGGTATTCATTTTCAAATTCATTGTTTTATCCGTTCAACCAACCAAAAAAAAAATAAAAAATCATTTGTTTTACATTAGTCTATCCTTTTAATTGCACCGACCCATTATCCACTTCCAGACTTTATCCATTCGAGGAGGAAACTCACAGCCGTCAGATGGGATCACCGCCACACCCACTCCAACACGCGTACAGTCCGATTTGATTGGGATATCCGTAGGACCCACTGTCCCCATTCCGTTGGGAAAACATTCCACACACCACCAAAACGACGCCGTCGTCTCTCATCAAACATAAAAAAACAGTTAATTAAACAACGTCTTTTACATCAGCTTCCTCGAAGATTCATCCATCAACTCCTATAAGTAACCAATGCCCCCATTGAAGAAAAACCCACAAAACTCACCAAAACATCCCCACATTTCTTCTTCATTTTCTCAAAAATACTTCCCAACTTCCTTTCTCTCTCTACAGACCACCCTTTCTTTCTCTAAAACTCAAATGGCTCCTGAACTTGTGAGTGCAACCACCAAGGCTACCAGCCTGGTCAAGGCAGCCAGCCTGACGAGCCGGGCTTATGTGACATTCTTGGCAGGGAATGGTGACTACGTGAAGGGCGTGGTTGGGCTGGCCAAGGGCCTGAGGAAGGTCAAGACTGCGTACCCGCTAGTGGTGGCGGTCCTGCCTGACGTGCCTGAGGAGCACCGCCGTATGCTGTTAGCTCAGGGCTGCATAGTCCGTGAGATCGAGCCGGTGTACCCGCCAGCGAACCAGACCCAGTTTGCTATGGCCTACTATGTCATCAACTACTCCAAGCTTCGTATCTGGGAGGTATGTGTCTAATGATAACAAAATTTAGGAAAAAAAAATTACATGATAAGTTCTTAATTTCCTTGTTATTCATATTAATTATCTTTCTGGCTGAAATAAGGCATATTGACTTGTAATCAATTGCAGTTTGTGGAGTACCATAAGATGATATATTTGGACGGAGACATCCAGGTGTTTGAAAATATAGACCACCTCTTTGACAACCCAAATGGCTACTTCTATGCTGTGAAGGATTGTTTCTGCGAGAAGACATGGTCTCATACCCCACAGTACCAGATTGGGTACTGCCAACAGTGCCCTGATAAGGTCCAGTGGCCTAGAGAGTTGGGTCCTAAGCCTCCCCTCTACTTCAATGCTGGCATGTTTGTGTTCGAGCCTAGTCTCCCAATTTATGATGACCTCTTAGAGACCCTCAAAATCACTCCGCCTACCCCTTTTGCTGAGCAGGTAATAATCAAAATTTGTCACTCCAACACCTTTTAAATAACAGTATCAATATCAACAATATTGTTATATATCACCCAATATTAGATAGTATCTACCGATGTATCAGTTAATATTGATATTGAAAGTTAAAAATCCTAATATGCATTAGTCGATCTATCAAAATAGACAAAATCTTTAGTCTTTAAAATTCATGTTGTTATTTTATTTTCAATGAATTTTCATTCACATGATGTGGCAAGAATATCAAAATAAGAAAATTTCAAGAAAATGGTATGCAGTCAAAATTATATTTGAGATAGCGGCATGAATTTTGGTATAGAGAATCTGTTTCCTATAAATGTAGATATTATTTTGGCAATAATTTGGTATAAACTTAAACAATTGTGCTTGCAGGACTTTTTGAATATGTTCTTTAAGGATGTCTACAAGCCTATCCCACCAACTTACAACCTTGTTTTGGCCATGCTTTGGCGTCACCCAGAAAACATTGAACTTAATAAAGTGAAAGTTGTTCACTACTGTGCCGCGGTGAGTGTTCATGATCAATGATCAAATCTTTTCTTCTTTTTCTCAAATTATTTTAAATAAATGAAATCAATATTCTAAATTAATTAATTTGTCATTTGGCTTCTTTCTTTATTTCTTTCTTTTCAGGGATCAAAGCCATGGAGGTATACTGGAATTGAAGAGAACATGAAAAGGAAAGACATTAAGATGGTAGTGAAGAGCTGGTGGGACATATACAATGATGAGTCATTGGATTATAAGAAGACTAACACATCACCCATTGAAGGTGAAGCTGACAAATTCATGGCGGCAACGGTGTCACAGGCTAACGCTGGTCATTACATTACCGCCCCATCTGCTGCCTAGTTTTTTTTTGGCAAGCTAAGGACAGTAATAATATTAATGCCTAAACATATTTTTCTGGTTTTTGGTTATGTATAGGCTTTTCAAAGTTAAGAAGGTGGCCTTTTATTTTTGAAGTTGGCTTACCTTTTAGTGGAAGATTGTTGCAATTAAGGAAGATAGAGATTGCTTTTGGTTTCTGATTAACTTGTATTCGTTGGGTATGTGAATATTTGAAAATTTATGATTGTACTAATATATTTCATAGTTTACAAGTGTTGAATCCACTTTCTATTACTTTTATACTATATCTAGTGAAAACACTGGTGCTCTGCTTCTCATCCTCTTCAGATTTTGCCTACACCTATGTTAATGACTAATTTAATCATATTCATATCAGATTTTCCTGGTTAATTTGGATATTTGTTTATGGAGTGAGCCAGTAATTGCCATATAAGTCCTAGAACACAATCAACCAAACATCAGATCCTCTATCGATCTTTCCGGACATGAGCCTCTTTAATCGTTTAATAGAAAGAACATTGAGATAGGAGGATAAAAGATTGGGAGAGGAGATGCAAGAGAAGAGCCTTGAGACAGGAGGAAAGAAAATATCAGGATGTTCTCTCTCACCTAACTTATATTTAACTTATATTTCATTCACATTTCTCTCATTTTTTCTTTTCTCCTTCCAAATCTCTACCTAAATTTATAACCCAAACACAACATTAGTGATTGGATCAATCAGATTTGGACTATCATATCAAATTTCTCTCTTAATGAATTTAGATTTTTCAAATTAAATTTGGATTACATTATGATAAAGTTAGATCTTTTAATAGACCTGATCTGAGCG